CGGAGGAGGAGCAGTCAGGACTACAAAGGGATATGTACAGGCTGCAGGCCCGGGTCCAGAAACTGGCGCCTAGAGTTCAACCCCACCAAGTCATGAAGATTGAGGAAAGGCAAAGAAGACCGAAGACAGAGTACAGTCTAGGGGACCAAAGACTACAAACTTCACTGAAGGAAAAGGATATTGAGGTGAGTATAATACTGATCACATCTCGTGAGGCGAACACCACCCAAATAACTGCTGCAGCATATGGGCGCTAAGCAAACCTAAGAAGAGCAATCCGACATCTCAGTAAGGAATCGTTCAGGACCCTGTACACCATTTACGTTAGGCCTTTATTGGAATATGCAGCACCAGTTTGATACCTGCACCTAGACAAGCACTTCAAGAAATTAGGGTAAGTGGAAAGGTTTCCAACGAATCTAGTCCCGGAGCTAAGGGGTATGTCCTACGAGGAGAGGTCAAGGGAAATCTACTGATGACGCTGGAGGACAGGAGATATAGGGGGATATGATTGCGACATATAAAATACTGAGAGTAATCGACAAGATGGACTGAGACAGGATATTCCAGAGAGGAAACACAAGAACAAGGGGTCACAATTGGAGGCTGAAGACTCAGAAGAGTCAAGAGATTTTAGGAAGAATTTCTTCAGTCACAAAGTAGTCAGGATGTGGAATAGTCTGGGAAGTGATGTAGTGGAGGCAGGATCCAGACATAGCATGAAGAGGTATGATAGTAGCCACCAGTGAATAGGCGGGGCGAGGAGCTGTGGATCGACCCATGCGGCCACAATTAGGTGAGTACAATCAGGTGAGTACACACCTATGCCAAATTTCCATTACCAAGTACCTTTAACAACAGGTAACTAAGGTTCTCTTCCCCAACACAGTATTTGAGTGTCGCTTATAAAGTGAAATAGCCTAATTACTGTTGTATTAAAGTTAATTAGTTTAATTTTAAAACTTAAATAGGCTTTATGATTGTAAATTCTCTTATAACCTTAGACAAGGCTGGTAATTGTTCATTGATGGTTGGTTTGTTGCGTTTGAAGACTGTCGACTACTCGAGGGTCATTAAGGCTGTGTCACCTGTTCGCTATCAGTGAAAAATACTTTAATCCATAAAAAATAATTAAAGTAAATTATCATGGTATACACACTGAGGAATATACCTGTCTCGGCAAATATGCACTGAGATATACATGGGTCTCATTGCATATGTACAGATATATACACCACTCGCTGGATATATACTTGGAGATACATATCTCTCCTGTATATATATATATATATATATATATATATATATATATATATATATATATATATATATATATATATATATATATATATATATATATATATATATATGCAAAACAACCACTCTGAAAGATTAGATTAATTCCAAGCGCTTTCGTGACTACTCACATTATCAAGGAACTATGAAAGTAAAGCATCCAAGGAAGGTATATAAGGGGTCTGGCCAACACCTCACTATCAGATCCCACAACGGTTAAACACCTGACGCGCGCCGGCCCAACTGGACCAACTGGGCCGGCGCGCGTCAGGTGTTTAACCGTTGTGGGATCTGATAGTGAGGTGTTGGCCAGACCCCTTATATACCTTCCTTGGATGCTTTACTTTCATAGTTCCTTGATAATGTGAGTAGTCACGAAAGCGCTTGGAATTAATCTATTCTTTCAGAGTGGTTGTTTTGCATATTCTGAAATCACCTGTTTACTGTGATCTTATTGCATATATATATATATATATATATAATTATATATATATATATATATATATATATATATATATATATATATATGTCGTGCCGAATATGTAAAACTGGTCAATTAGCAAGAACTCATTTAAAATTAAGTCCTTTCTAAAAATTTTCTCTTATACATTTAAAGATATATTTTTTTCATTAATGTTAATGTAAAAATTTTTAATTTTGCTACAACACAACTGTCAACATATTATAATTGTTGGTGACCTCAACCAGCACCTTATACAGAGGGACTTTGATGACCTTCTTGCAGTGTTTGACATGAGAAACTTTGTTGATTTCCCTAACTCATATCTCTGGCTCCTCCCTTGACCCAGTAGTGAGTGATCTGGCAGAAGGCATAGTCACTTGTCAACCCCTCGGCTACGTTGGATCGTCTGACCACAAGTCTGTTTTTACGACACTTAAGATCCCAACAGAACGAGGTGAGGAGTCCACACGCACAACCTGGCTATGGGAAAGAGGTAATTGGCCAGCCCTTTGCTCTGAGCTCGCCACCACCGATTGGAATGCTCTTCTCCAAGGGGATGTTGACAACCAAGTGAAACCCTTCACTGGACACATCCTTAATCTACAACAAAAACACATTCCTCACCGGCAATATGTGACGAAGCCTACAGATCAGCCTTGGTTTGGCTTTCGTTGTAGAGAGGCTGCTACTGCTAAGTACAAAGCATGGCGAAGGTATAAGAGACATCCTACCACCTTTAACAGGAACTTGTACACGCAAGCCTGTAGGCATATGGGTGATGTTCAAAAGTGGGCCATTGCTAAATGGGAGGTGGACACTAAAAGAAAGCTAGCATCAGGTAGGGTAGGCTCCAAAACCTGGTGGTCCCTGGTCAAGGACAGACAAGGTTATCTGCCTGATGAACTTATTCCACCTCTAAATCGAGAGGATGGGACCACCCTACTAGAAAGTCAAGAGAAGGCGGACCTCTTTGCTGAACACTTTGCTACCAAAATGCAAGTTCCTGATCCAGCAAGGAACCCTCCTTGGCTAGCTGCAAGAACTGTGTCAAAACTGTCAGTGGTGACAATAAGGCAGGAGGAGGTGCACTTCCTTCTTAAATCGCTTGACCAAGAAAAGGCTGTGGGCCAGACAAGTTGAGCCCAAGATTGTTGAAAAGATGTGCAGACCAGCTAGCAGCACCTCTAACTCGCATCTTTCAGCACTGCCTAGTACAGTGTAAATGGCCCTCTCTATGGAAAGAGGCAAATGTAGTCCCTGTTCACAAAAAGAAGAGCAGAGCAGAAATCAGCAACTACAGACCAGTGTCACTCCTGTCAATCACTGGTAAGATCCTTGAGACAATAATCTCAAGACAAATGACAGAGTTTTTTGACTACCACTCACTACTTTGTGATCGTCAATATGGCTTCAGGAAAGGTTACTCTGCTGCTGATCTGTTATTAAACCTCTCCACTAAGTGGCACCAGTCACTAGATGAATCCAAAGTCAGCTGTGTGGTAGCACTGGACATTGCTGGCGCTTTCGACCGGGTGTGGCACCAAGGCCTCTTAGCAAAACTTCAAGCAATGGGAATTGCAGGCTCTACGCTATGTCTCCTTAGTGATTACCTTCATGGTAGATCTCTAAGTGTAGTTCTCAATGGAACGGAATCAGCAAGACATCCTATTGGGGCAAGTGTTCCACAAGGAAGCGTGCTGGGTCCATTGTTATGGAATGTCTACTTCAACGACCTTCTTCATCTCATCCCAGAAACACATGCATATGCAGACGACTGTACACTGACATTCACTTATCCAAGAGAAGAAATGCCAGCTGCTCTAAGCTACATCAATCACCAGCTGAGAGCTATAATCAGCTTGGGGAAATAGATGGCAGGTAACATTTGCACCTGAGAAAACGCAATGATGATCGTCTCTAGGCACCATGATGGTAATGCTGGTGCAGTAGTAAGGATGAATGGAGGGTGTTGGCACCTGGAGAAGAAGTTGATATCCTTGGGGTGAAATTTGACTCCAAACTAACCATGAAGAACCATGTTGTAAATCTTGCAAACAAGGCAGCCAGGAAGCTTACAGCACTTCGCCGTATCTCGCATCTGCTTGACAGTAGGGGTTGCAAGATCCTGTACGAGGCACAAGTACGCTCACACCTCGAGTATGCTCCACTTTCTTGGTTTGCCTGCCCCCCCTCTCATCTGCGACTGCTTGACAGAGTAGAGAACAGAGCAAGACGTCTCGTCTCTCGCCTGGACCCATCTTGGATAGATCTGTCATTTCAGTAGAGCCTTACTGTTATGTACAAGGCCAATATTGTCAAAATACCACACTTGGATCCACTTCGAGGACAGCATGAAACAAGCTTTTATGCCACAAGACGGGCAGAAAGCAGCAACTTCACTCTGGCTGTACCCTTCTCCAGAACATCACTCCATCTGAGATCATACATACCCAGGATGACTCGAGTATGGAACACATTCGTACAGCATAATGATGTCAACGAGATAAAGTCAGTTGATCAAATGAAAATGCTGGCCCACAGATGGCTCCAACTTCATCCTGTTCCCTACTTGTATGTCTCATAACAATAAAAATGCTTTCAAATGAGCTGATGTAGATAACAGCTCTTAGCTTGCCAATAAAGTTAGGAATCCTTAACCTGTAAATAGCTGTCAATAAAGCTAGGGATCCTTAACCTGTAAATAGCTTGTCAATAAAGCTAGGGATCCTTAACCTTGTCAAACCATGTGTAAAAAACTTACCTAACCTTATTATAACAAGAACAATTTAGTTTAGCCTAACCCAACTAAATATATTTTAGATTTCTTTACAATAATTTAATACTAAACAAAACAGTGAAATATTTTTTTTGTTAGGTTCAGAATGATTTTGGCGAAATTATTGCATACACAAATTTTCACTTGTCCTATACGGCAAGATGAGCGTTGCTATCTAAGCCAAGATCGCAAGTTCTGCCTATTCGGCACGGCATTATATATATATATATATATATATATATATATATATATATATATATATATATAAATATATATATTATATATATATATATATATATATATATATATAGTAGATTTTCTAAACAAAACATACATTATCTTTAAAAAAAAGGAAAGGCATATGATAGGTTCGCTTGAACAGGAGAGAGAGAATGTAGAAAACGAGGAGTCAACAGTAACTAAAACAAGCACCTGGAAACGTTCTCAACCCGTATGTAAACTCACCAGTTTCCTTGCGCCAGGCGATGGTGGGGTTGGGGAACCCGTTCGCCAGGCAGTGGAGTGCAACGGTGCCTCCCAGGGCAACACTGGCACTAGCCGGCTCCACCATCCAGGCCGGAGGCACTGTGTTGCAAGTGGACACACAGGTCATTATTCACACAACAAAGTGTAATACCTCTATTATATTTTTATCCATGCAATGTTTTTATAATGTTATTCAATAATGAAGTTATCAATATTTTTATAAAATATTCCTGCAATTTTATGGTATTTCCATTAGTTATTACATCAACATTTTTAAAAGTTATTACATAAATATATACAGTCAACAGAGTGGCAGCTCGCACATGCACTGTGTGATAAGAGATTTACATTATTAAAATTCGAGTTTCATTTTAGTTGTGCCATTACAATACACTTCTGGAACTGACTAAGGTATTAAGATAAAATTTTAGATTACTCCTAAGCCTGATGTGAAATATTTATTAGATTACATCATTTATATACTAAATAATACGGATATTCTTCAGGCACAGCAGATAAGACAACATTAACAAGACTGACAAGAGGCTGAAAACTTAAATTTACTGTTATATGGTTGTCGTGCGTCGACCCGGGCAGTGGGTAGGGTCGGCGTGTGTGGTTGGTGTATCGTGGGCGTGAGTTTTGGTGGCGTGTGGGGTTAAGGGTGGCGTGGGCATGTGTAGGGGTGACGTGGGAGGGGTGGCGTGGGCGTATATGGGTGAGGGATGTGAGTGCATATGTGTGTTTTCAAAAGGGAAAGTTGCAGAGAAGGCGTCAACACACAGACCCACACTGTCTATCTGTCTGGCTATCTGTCTGTCTCCCGTGTTCCGCTCTCGTAAAATGCAATACCAGCGAGCCTGATGGTGGCAGAGATATATCACAGTATATATTTACATGACTGAGGCACCGAATATAAATGTTATCTTTGAGAACTCGTGCACTGTTAAAAGCCTCGTTAATTAAAAATATTTTTAGCCTCACATCTGGGGTTTGCTTACAACATATATGACTTGCGTTGTTCCCAGTTAGGACAGACAAGCAAAGAATTACTTCCAAATGGCGTACCGCAGACAATAGCTAAATTTATTTAACCCCTGTGAGTAAATCAATGGTTGAGGCTCGATCCTCTGTCCGCTAAGCGGAGACAGTACACATGCCCGGTGGCCCTCACGTAGTTAGAGTGAAACGTTGTCACAATAAACGCTGTTCCGTAACGATTCAGTTCTTCACGGGGAAAGAACTGACGCGCTGGATCAAGCAGCACAGAGTATACTCGATTAAATCTTCACAAGCATCAACGTCAACATTTGAGTGTAAATTCCTCTTGTCTTGACCGGCAAAATGTTAAATCTGTTGGCGTTACAAATAAGGGTGTTGAAAGTAGCATTGCTGAGTCAGGCCTAATTAAATTATCAATGGGATAAAACCAAAAATATCAGTTCATGGTTGCTGAGGCTGTATCCACTAGTTATATTCTCTAGCCTTCTGCCCTGACTAAAAAATAATGACATGTCTCCAAACACAGTCATTTCCCCAGCGACGATTTTGGTACGTGGGGCAGCGAGGAGCAGGAGCGTGGTGGGATGGGCCCTCGGTATGGGTCCTATGTATGGGCCACAGGCATGGCTCCTAGGGGTGTGTAGTGGTGTCATCGAGAGTGTCATAGTCATCGAGAGTGTCACAGTCATCAGCAGTGTCACAGCCATCAGGAGTGTCAGAGTCATCAGGAGTAAGTCTTGTGTTGTCAGGCTGTGGTCAAGAGGAAGGAAGTGCTCTTACTCTATGAGACTTACCTGATGGGGCTGCATCCCTCAACCCAAATCTTATTCACTCCCTAGCCTTTAATGGCTTCAATTTTATCTACACTCTATCCAGTCCCCCTTTTAGTGTGTCTGAGTCATGCCTCTGAGGGCGTAGGACGTGGGCGGCCTACCGCTGACGGTCAGGCGCGAGGTGGTGGTGGTGGTGCGGGCGTCGTTGGAGGCGGCGCAGGAGTAGTTGCCGGTGTGGGCGGCAGTAGCTCTGTCGATCACCAGGATGGAAGTGAAGGCGTCCAGTTGAGAGGTGCGGACGTCGAGGCTGGATTGGAGTGGGCGGCCGTCCTTCTGCCAGGTGAGAGTGAGTGGCTGGTCTCCCTCCTGCACGAGACAAGTAGCCTGGGTTCGCATCCCCGCGCGGGTTCCCTCCGGGAAGGCCAGGCGTGCCAGGCGGGGCGGGACTGCAACACACACACCACACACTCACACACACCAAACGGGAAATAAACACGTGAAATGTATTGTTGATGCACGAGCCTGAAAAAACAGGAATGCAGACTTTAGGAAGCATAGGAATGTGTAAGAAGAGGGAGCCCGTCAGGTCCCCGTGATGCAGGGGCCATCCACTGCCTAATCAGATAGCTAAGGAAAGGGGGCGTAGACAGAAGTGAGGGAGCCATTAAGACAGGCAGAAAAAAACAGTCGCGGTAAGTAGCCACGTCTTTACGTTACTCGGGAAACATCAACCTAAACACAGACAACGTCAAATTTCTGGAAAAAAGCAGAGAGAAGAAGCGTAGGTTTATGTTAAGTCGTTGTGGTTATGGTGCGGCTGTCCCAGGTGCGGGCGTGTGCTGACGAGGGCGTACCATTGACGGCGAGGGCGGCGGAGAGGTTGGCCCTGGCCCAGTGGTTAGAGGCGCTGCAGGTGTACTCTCCGGAGTGAAGGGCGGTGAGGCTGCTGATCATGAGGGCGCTGGAGAAGTCGTTCATGCTGGAGACGGAGACGCCCTCCACCTCCTGAATCGAGTGGCCATCCTTCCTCCAGGTGAAAGTGATGGGAGGGTCACCCTTGTTGACTAGACAGGTCACCCCCGCCCGGTCCCCAGCCTGTAACTTCTCCTCAAAGTGGAAAGGCTGGAGAACCGGAGCCACTGGAACATACTCGCTGTAAGGATGCTGACCTCATGCTGCTGACGTCTACATGTCTACCTACTACTGGCGTCTGCCTGCTGCTGACGTCTACCTCTGCTGGTGTCTGCCTGTCAACCTTCCGCTGACGTCTGCCTACTGTTGAAGTCTATGTTCCTCCTTTCTCTTTGTTTCTGAGGTCTATCTTTGAACTTGAGGTGCACCTGTCTACCTGCTGCTCAGGATTTTCTATCTATTAAGGCCTCAAGATGTACTTGCCTACCTGCTACTGCCGTCTGCCTCTCTACATGTTAACCTACGTTGCTGACAACTTTATCTTCCATTCTTTCTTAACCCAAAGCCGATGCATGATCCACATAGCTCTAAGCAGAAGTGATGAGTTTGGCCACTAACTATAATTAAGTTGGATACCATGCAAACTTTGCAATAACTCGATTTGTATCACTATTCAATGATCTGCGCTACTTACCACGTGTAATCAAAGCTTGACAAACAACAGCTGATCTTCCTTTGAAGGTGAACAGCTGATACATGTTTCATACCTAACACCTGATTTGTGTTGACAACTATCAGCTGGTCCTTGTTGAGACAAATCAGCTGATTCATGTAGACAACGAGCATCATACGCATGTTGGCAATCATCAGCTGATCTATGTGTCAGCCGTCAGCTAATTGATATGTAGTATCAAACCCGTGTGGGTCATTCAGCGCACGGAGTAGCGAAGGCTTGATCCTCCGTCTATAATGGCGAGATGGACTCGTTACCTAAATCGTCAGTTGAATAAATATATTTGTGTTCAGACCTTCATGAGTGTTGCCAACGCAAAGGTAATCTGTGTTACATTTAACAGCAAAACAAAAACATAATTATAGAACAAGAACATTGTACCTACACCACTGGAACTAATTAACTGTAACAATGAAGGCAGTATTATATATATATATATATATTATATATATATATATATATATATATATATATATATAATATATATATATATATATATATATATATATATATATATATATATATATATAATATATATATATATTATGGATGTGCCGAGAAATATCGTTATCGGCCATTTTATGGTATCAGTATCGGTAAAAATACAGCCGATACATTATAAAATATAAATGTACGTGAGCTTAAAAATATTATTACTCTACTTCACGACTGTGAGTTACTCACACACACACACACACACACACACACACACACACACACACACACACACACACACACACACACACACACACAACACACACCACCACCACCATCCAGGACAGGACGAATGAAGCCAAACTACAAGAAAGGGGACTACACGGGAATGAGGAACTTCCTGAACTGGGTTCAGTGGGACAGAGAACTGGCAGGGAAGCCAGTTAATGAGATGATGGAATATGTAGCAACAATGTGCAAGGAGGCTGAGGAGAGGTTTGTACCCAAGGGTAACAGGAATAATGAAAAAGCCAGGATGAGCCCATGGTTCACCCAAAGGTGCAGGGAGGCAAAAACCAAGTGTGCTAGGGAATGGAAGAAATATAGAAGGCAAAGGACCCAGGAGAATAAGGAGAGCAGTCGTATGCACAGATAAGAAGGGAGGCCCAACTACAATATGAAAATGACATAGCAGCGAAAGCCAAATCTGACCTGAAATTGTTATACAGCCACATCAGGAGGAAAACAACAGTCAAGGACCAGGTAATCAAGCTAAGGAAGGAAGGAGGAGAGACAACAAGAAATGACCGTGAAGTATGTGAGGAACTCAACAAGAAATTCAAAGAAGTGTTCACAGAGGAGACAGAAGGGGCTCCAGAAGGACGGAGAAGTGGGGCACACCACCAAGTGCTGGACACAGTGCTCACAACAGAGGAAGAAGTGAAGAGGCTTCTGAATGAGCTAGATACCTTATAGGTAATGGGACCAGATAACATCTCCCCATGGGTCCTGAGAGAGGGAGCAGAGGCGCTATGTGTACCCCTAACAACAATATTCAATACATCTATCGAAACAGGGAGATTGCCTGAGGCATGGAAGACAGCAAATGTAGTCCCAATCTTTAAAAAAGGAGACAGACATGAAGCACTAAACTACAGACGAGTGTCACTGACATGTATAGTATGCAAAATAATGGAGAAGATTATCAGAAGAGTGGTGGAACACCTAGAAAGGAATGATCTCATCAACAGCAGCCAACATGGTTTCAGGGACGGGAAATCCTGTGTCACAAACCTACTGGAGTTCTATGAAATGGTGACAGCAGTAAGACAAGAGAGATAGGGGTGGGTGGATTGCATATTCTTGGACTGCAAGAAGGCGCTTGACACAGTTTCACACAAGAGATTAGTGCAAAAACTGGAGGACCAAGCCCCTAGGATCCTTCCTTCACTAGTACGCTCCTAGGATCCTTCCTTCACTAGTACGCCCCTAGGATCCTTCCTTCACTAGTACGTCCCTAGGATCCTTCCTTCACTAGTACGCCCCTAGGATCCTTCATTAGTACGCCCCTATGATCCTTCCTTCACTAGTACGCCCCTAATATCCTTCCTTCACTAGTACGCCCCTAGGATCCTTCCTTCCCTAGTACACCGCTAGGATCCTTCCTTCATTAGTACGCCCCTAGGATCCTTCCTTCACTAGTACCCCCCTAGGATTCTTCCTTCACTAGTACGCCCCCAGGACCCTTCCTTCACTAGTATGCCCCCAGGATTCTTCCTTCACTAGTACGCCCCCAGGACCCTTCCTTCACTAGTACGACCCTAGGATCCTTCCTTCACTAGTACGCCCCATTATTCTTCCTACACTATTATGCCCCCAGGACCCTTCCTTCACTAGTACGCCCCTAGGATCCTTCCTTCACTAGTACGCCCCCAGGATTCTTCCTTCACTAGTACGCCCCAGGACCTTTCCTTCACTAGTACGACCCCATTATTCTTCCTTCACTAGTATGCCCCCAGAACCCTTCATTTACTAGTACGCCCCTAGGATCCTTCCTTCACTAGTACACCCCTAGGATCCTTCCTTCACTAGTTCGCCCCCAGGATTCTACCTTCACTAGTACGCTCCCAGGACACTTCCTTCACTAGTACGCCCCCAGGACTCTTCCTACACTAGTACGCCCCCAGGATCCTTCCTACACTAATACGTCTCGATCAAGAAGGTTGGAAACGGATGAAGTACAGGTGCGTGAGTCAGAGAGCAAGGCTTCAGCTATGGGCTCTCCTCTATGCCCTTGCTTCATTAGCACAAGCCCAGAACCCTTGCTTCAGGGCCCTTTCCCCGGACTCTTCAAGACCTTAGCCCTGGATGGCCCAGGAACATTCTCAAGGATGCCTTACCCAAGAAGCCTTCAGGACCCTTACCCATTAAGCTTTTTCAAGACCCTTACCTATGTAACCTTCAGGACCCTTACCTATGAAGCCTTCAGGACCCTTAACCATGGAAACTTCAGGACCCATTGGGAAAAAGAAGCCTTCAAGACCATTACCCGTGCACTCGTCAGGACAATTACCCATGCAGCTTTCAAGACCCTTACCCATACAGTCTTCAGGACCCTTATCCATGCAGCCTTCAAGACCCATCCCATGGACGTACCCATAACACGGACGGTGAGGTGTTGGCTCTCTGACTGGCCCTGCCTGGTGGAGGCCGTGCAGGTGTACTGTCCATCGTCAGCGCCTCGGGTAACCTGCTCCACCACCAGTGTGCCGTTCGGGTAGACTCTCTGCCTGTGGGTAGTCGGCAGCCTCACTCCGTCTGTGTGGCAGACACAAAGAACACTCGTGGAAACACAAAATCTCTTGTGTTGATCTTGTGGCAAAACAACAGCTGTTAATGGAATGGGGAAAATAGAATTGAATTTTAAAGTATATTTAACATTAAAATATAATGGGAATTGAATAATATAATCTATTAAATATGGAAAATAAATAAATAAATAACAATACGACTTAATTATACGATCTTAATACTTATGATGTTAAAGAACAGAGACGTATCTTTCCTCCAGGTGATCTTGTGCACGGGTCAGGGAGACGTACCTTTCCTTCAGGTGATCTTGTGCACCGGTCAGGGAGACGTATCTTTCCTCCAGGTGATCTTGTGCACGGGTCAGGGAGACGTACCTTTCCTTCAGGTGATCTTGTGCACGGGTCAGGGAGACGTACCTTTCCTCCAGGTGATCTTGTGCACGGGTCAGGGAGACGTACCTTTCCTCCAGGTGATCTTGTGCACGGGTCAGGGAGACGTACCTTTCCTCCAGGTGATCTTGTGCAAGGGTCAGGGAGACGTACCTTTCCTTCAGGTGATCTTGTGCACGGGGTAGGGAGACGTACCTTTCCTCCAGGTGATCTTGTGCACGGGGTAGGGAGACGTACCTTTCCTCCAGGTGATCTTGTGCACGGGGTAGGGAGACGTACCTTTCCTCTAGGTGATCTTGTGCACGGGTCAGGGAGACGTACCTTTCCTCCTGGTGATCTTGTGCACGGGGTAGGGAGACGTACCTTTCCTCCAGGTGATCTTGTGCACGGGTCAGGGAGACGTACCTTTCCTCCAGGTGATCTTGTGCACGGGTCAGGGAGACGTACCTTTCCTCCAGGTGATCTTGTGCACGGGTCAGGGAGACGTACCTTTCCTCCAGGTGATCTTGTGCACGGGTCAGGGAGACGTACCTTTCCTCCAGGTGATCTTGTGCACGGGTCAGGGAGACGTACCTTTCCTCCAGGTGATCTTGTGCACGGGTCAGGGAGACGTACCTTTCCTCCATGTGATCTTGTGCACGGTCAGGGAGACGTACCTTTCCTCCAGGTGATCTTGTGCACGGGTCAGGGAGACGTACCTTTCCTCCAGGTGATCTTGTGCACGGGGTAGGGAGACGTACCTTTCCTTCAGGTGATCTTGTGCACGGGTCAGGGAGACGTACCTTTTCTCCAGGTGATCTTGTGCACGGGTCAGGGAGACGTACCTTTCCTTCAGGTGATCTTGTGCAAGGGTCAGGGAGACGTACCTTTCCTCCAGGTGATCTTGTGCACGGGTCAGGGAGACGTACCTTTCCTCCAGGTGATCTTGTGCACGGGTCAGGGAGACGTACCTTTCCTTCAGGTGATCTTGTGCAAGGGTCAGGGAGACGTACCTTTCCTTCAGGTGATCTTGTGCACGGGGTAGGGAGACGTACCTTTCCTCCAGGTGATCTTGTGCACGGGTCAGGGAGACGTACCTTTCCTCCAGGTGATCTTGTGCACGGGGTAGGGAGACGTACCTTTCCTCTAGGTGATCTTGTGCACGGGGTAGGGAGACGTACCTTTCCTCCTGGTGATCTTGTGCACGGGGTAGGGAGACGTACCTTTCCTCCAGGTGATCTTGTGCACGGGTCAGGGAGACGTACCTTTCCTCCAGGTGATCTTGTGCACGGGTCAGGGAGACGTACCTTTCCTCCAGGTGATCTTGTGCACGGGTCAGGGAGACGTACCTTTCCTCCAGGTGATCTTGTGCACGGGTCAGGGAGACGTACCTTTCCTCCAGGTGATCTTGTGCACGGGTCAGGGAGACGTACCTTTCCTCCAGGTGATCTTGTGCACGGGTCAGGGAGACGTACCTTTCCTCCATGTGATCTTGTGCACGGGTCAGGGAGACGTACCTTTCCTCCAGGTGATCTTGTGCACGGGTCAGGGAGACGTACCTTTCCTTCAGGTGATCTTGTGCAAGGGTCAGGGAGACGTACCTTTCCTCCAGGTGATCTTGTGCACGGGTCAGGGAGACGTACCTTTCCTCCAGGTGATCTTGTGCACGGGTCAGGGAGACGTACCTTTCCTTCAGGTGATCTTGTGCAAGGGTCAGGGAGACGTACCTTTCCTTCAGGTGATCTTGTGCACGGGGTAGGGAGACGTACCTTTCCTCCAGGTGATCTTGTGCACGGGGTAGGGAGACGTACCTTTCCTCCAGGTGATCTTGTGCACGGGGTAGGGAGACGTACCTTTCCTCTAGGTGATCTTGTGCACGGGGTAGGGAGACGTACCTTTCCTCCAGGTGATCTTGTGCACGGGTCAGGGAGACGTACCTTTCCTCCAGGTGATCTTGTGCACGGGTCAGGGAGACGTACCTTTCCTTCAGGTGATCATGTGCACGGGGTAGGGAGACGTACCTTTCCTCCTGGTGATCTTGTGCACGGGGTAGGGAGACGTACCTTTCCTCTAGGTGATCTTGTGCACGGGTCAGGGAGACGTACCTTTCCTCCAGGTGATCTTGTGCACGGGTCAGGGAGACGTACCTTTCCTCCGGTGATCTTGTGCACGGGTCAGGGAGACGTACCTTTCCTCCAGGTGATCTTGTGCACGGGTCAGGGAGACGTACCTTTCCTCCAGGTGATCTTGTGCACGGGTCAGGGAGACGTACCTTTCCTCCAGGTGATCTTGTGCACGGGTCAGGGAGACGTACCTTTCCTCCAGGTGATCTTGTGCACGGGTCAGGGAGACGTACCTTTCCTCCAGGTGATCTTGTGCACGGGTCAGGGAGACGTACCTTTCCTCCAGGTGATCTTGTGCACGGGTCAGGGAGACGTACCTTTCCTCCAGGTGACCTTATGCACGGGGTAGTGAGACGTACCTTTCTTTCAGGTGGTTTTGTGCACGAGGTAGGGTAAGGTACCTTTCCTCCAGGTGATCTTGTGCACGGGGTAGTGAGATGTACCTTTCCTCCAGGTGACCTTGTGGACGGGGTAGACAGACGTACTTTTCCTCCAGGTGACCTTGTGCACGGGGTAGCGAGACGTACCTTTCATCCAGGTGACCTTGTGCGCGGGGTAGTGAGACGTACCTCACCTTCAGGTGATCTTGTGCACGGGGTAGACAGACGTATCTTTCCTCCAAGTGATCTTGTGCACGGGGTAGACAGACGTACCTTTCCTCCAGGTAATCTTGTGCACGGGGTAGACGGACGTACCTTTCCTTCAGGTGATCTTGTGCACGGGGTAGGGTGACATACCTTTATTCCAGGTGACTTTATGCACGGGGTAGACAGACGTACCTTTCCTCCAGGTGATCTTGTGCACGGGGTAGCCGGAGACGGGGCACGTAACAAGGAAGGTCTCCCCCGCTACAGCAGACACCTGCCCCATGGGACGCACGTGAGGGGGGCCGTACACGTTAAGACGTGCTGAGTGCACCACGCTGCCGGCACTGTTCTCCGCCGTGCACGCGTACGTACCCCCGTCCGTCACGTGCACCGTAGAGATGTTCACGTGACTGATCACCTCCCCGTGCGCCGACACGTACTGCCCCTTTACGTACCTGCAACACAAGTGTTTATTATGGCGTCACACAGCGGTACCTGCAACACAAGTGTTTATTATGGCGTCACACAGCGTACCTGCAACACAGTGTTTATTATGGCGTCACACAGCGGTAACTGCAACACAAGTGTTTATTATGGCGTCACACAGCGGTACCTGCAACACAAGTGTTTATTATGGCGTCACACAGCGGTAACTGCAACACAAGTGTTTATTATGGCGTCACACAGCGGTACCTGCAACACAAGTGTTTATTATGGCGTCACACGGCGGTACCTGCATCACAAGTGTTTATTATGGCGTCACACAGCGGTACCTGCAACACAAGTGTTTATTATGGCGTCACAACGGTACCTGCAACACAAGTGTTTATTATGGCGATGATGCTCATCACTTCAAGATTATTGATGAGTACATGACCGGTGATGAGTACATGACCAGTGATGAGTACATGACCAGTGATGAGTATATGACCAGTGATGAGTACATGACCAGTGATGAGTACATGACCAGTGATGAGTACATGACCAGTGATGAGTATATGACCAGTGATGAGTACATGACCAGTGATGAGTACATGACCAGTGATGAGTACATGACCAGTGATGAGTACATGACCAGTGATGAGTACATGACCAGTGATGAGTGCATGACCAGTGATGAGTGCATGACCAGTGATGAGTACATGACCAGTGATGAGTGCATGACCAGTGATGAGTGCATGACCAGTGATGAGTGCATGACCAGTGATGAGTGCATGACCAGTGATGAGTGCATGACCAGTGATGAGTACATGACCAGTGATGAGTGCATGACCAGTGATGAGTGCATGACCAGTGATGAGTGCATGACCAGTGATGAGTGCATGACCAGTGATGAGTGCATGACCAGTGATGATGCATGACCAGTGATGAGTGCATGACCAGTGATGAGTGCATGACCAGTGATGAGTGCATGACCAGTGATGAGTGCATGACCAGTGATGGATGCATGACCAGTGATGAGTACATGACCAGTGATGAGTACATGACCAGTGATGAGTGCATGACCAGTTGATTGAGTACATGACCAGTGATGAGTACATGACCAGTGATGAGTACATGACCAGTGAGAGTACATGACCAGTGATGAGTACATGACCAGTGATGAGTGCATGACCAGTGATGAGTGCATGACCAGTGATGAGTACATGACCAGTGATGAGTACATGACCAGTGATGAGTACATGACCAGTGATGAGTGCATGACCAGTGATGAGTGCATGACCAGTGATGAGTACATGACCAGTGATGAGTACATGACCAGTGATGAGTACATGACCAGTGATGATACATGACCAGTGATGATGCATGACCATGATGTGTACATGACCAGTGATGAGTACATGACCAGTGATGAGTACATGACCAGTGATGAGTGCATGACCAGTGATGAGTACATGACCAGTGATGAGTACATGACCAGTGATGAGTGCATGACCAGTGATGAGTACATGACCAGTGATGAGTACATGATCAGTGATGAGTACATGATCAGTGATGAGTACATGACCAGTGATGAGTACATGACCAGTGATGAGTACATGACCAGTGATGAGTGCATGACCAGTGATGAGTACATGACCAGTGATGAGTGCATGACCAGTGATGAGTACATGACCAGTGATGAGTACATGACCAGTGATGAGTGCATGACCAGTGATGAGTGCATGACCAGTGATGAGTACATGACCAGTGATGAGTACATGACCAGTGATGAGTACATGACCAGTGATGAGTACATGACCAGTGATGAGTACATGACCAGTGATGAGTACATGACCAGTGATGAGTACATGACCAGTGATGAGTGCATGACCAGTGATGAGTACATGACCAGTGATGAGTACATGACCAGTGATGAGTGCATGACCAGTGATGAGTACATGACCAGTGATGAGTGCATGACCAGTGATGAGTACATGACCAGTGATGAGTACATGACCAGTGATGAGTACATGACCAGTGATGAGTACATGACCAGTGATGAGTGCATGACCAGTGATGAGTACATGACCAGTGAAGAGTACATGACCAGTGATGAGTGCATGACCAGTGAAGAGTACATGACCAGTGATGAGAACATGACCAGTGATGAGTGCATGACCAGTGATGAGTACATGACCAGTGATGAGTACATGACCAGTGATGAGTACATGACCAGTGATGAGTACATGACCAGTGATGAGTACATGACCAGTGATGAGTACATGACCAGTGATGAGTGCATGACCAGTGATGAGTGCATGACCTGTGATGAGTACATGACCAGTGATGAGTACATGACCAGTGATGAGTACATGACCAGTGATGAGTGCATGACCAGTGATGAGTACATGACCAGTGATGAGTACATGACCAGTGATGAGTGCATGACCAGTGATGAGTACATGACCAGTGATGAGTACATGACCAGTGATGAGTACATGACCAGTGATGAGTACATGACCAGTGATGAGTACATGACCAGTGATGAGTACATGACCAGTGATGAGTACATGACCAGTGATGAGAACATGACCAGTGATGAGAACATGACCAGTGATGAGTACATGACCAGTGATGAGTACATGACCAGTGATGAGTGCATGACCAGTGATGAGTGCATGACCAGTGATGAGTACATGACCAGTGATGAGTGCATGACTATCGTGTACCTGAGTGCATATACACCAAAAAATGTGTATCACATGGTGTATATACCCCCGAGAGGTGTGTATACATCTCTCGATATACATTAATCAATATCTGTGTATATCTGTGTATGTCCACTTGTATATTCTCAGAGTATATACACTGCTTTCTTTTTTCTGAATATTAAAACACACATGATGGTAATTTTCAGGAATAAATCATTCAAAAAAGATTATAATAAATAATAAATAACTAAGACCTACATAACTTCGTTTTTGTCTTGTTATTTTTCTTGTCTTTGTAGTTATTTTTTATTTTTTGTTGACGTGATATTGCTGGCAAAGTTCTTGCTTCACACACTTATATTCCGGGTTCGATTCCCGGTAGGGTAGAAACATTTCGACGCGTTTCTTTAGACTTGTTGTCCTGTTCACCTAGCAGTAAGTAGGTACCTGGGTGTTAGTCGACTGGTGTGGGTCGCATCCTGGGGAACAAGATTAAGGACTTCAATGGAAATAAGTTAGACAGTCCTCGATGACTCACTGACTTTTTTGGGTTATCCTGGGTGGCTAACCCTCCGGGGTTAAAAATCCGAACTTAATTTTGTCTTGTCTTATCATTGAGAGAAGAGAGAGAGAGAGAGAGAGAGAGCGAGAGAGAGAGAGAGAGAGAAGAGAGAGAGAGAGAGAGAGAGAGAGAGAGAGAGAGAGAGAGAGAGAGAGAGAGAGAGAGAGAGAGAGAGAGAGAGAGCATACATCATAATTAATACATTAAGGTAATTAACTCGCTAATGGAAGACGCTGGAAAGACGTGTGGATTATGCCCAGCTAAAAGAGGAGGAAGAAGGAGAGGAGGAGAAGAAGAAGAAGAAGAGGAGAAGGAGGAAGAAGAGGATGGTTGAGACACTCAGAGATATCTTCAATTTTACGAACTAAATTCTTAGGTCGTAACTGGACTGGTTCATACACATTTTAGGTATACAAAGGTATACAAATGTGCCTCAGTATTCACGAACTTCCGTGATCATGAAACATCCGTAATCGCGAAACATCCGTAATCGCGAAACATCCGTAATCGCGAAACATCCGTAATCGCGAAACATCCGTAATCTCAAAACACCCGTAATCGCGAAACATCCGTAATCGCAAAACATCCGTAATCGCGAAACATCCGTAATCGCGAAACATCCGTAATCTCAAAACATCCGTAATCGCGAAACATCCGTAATCGCAAAACTTCCGTAATCGCGAAACATCCGTAATCGCGAAACATCCGTAATCGCGAAACATCCGTAATCGCGAAACATCCGTAATCGCGAAACATCCGTAATCGCGAAACATCCGTAATCGCGAAACATCCGTAATCGCGAAACATCCGTAATCGCGAAACATCCGTAATCGCGAAACATCCGTAATCGCGAAACATCCGTAATCGCGAAACATCCGTAATCGCGAACTTCGATTAACCAACATTAAAACACTATTTTTTTTTATCTCATTTTTGTTTCCAAGACCAAATTAATTTTTTCTGGTATTCTTTGACTGGTGAAGGGCCTTGATCCAGGGAACTGGAGGTAACTTTTCCCCCTGTTCAAACCCCCGATACTTTTTAGCAGGGGTTGATTGGCCTCTCTGGTTTTTGTGCCTAAACAAATTTAAAAATAATAATAATAAAATAAATAATAATATAATAATAAAAATTTTTAATAAAAATAATAAACCCCTTTAACTTTCTTTTCTTCTTCCCACCCATCTCCCCTCCTGTCCTTCCTCCCCATCCTTCATAATATCAGCCACTCCCATCACTCTCATGCCGTAGTTCTCCCGCCCCCTTGTCCCTACCCCCGAGGTCTACCACCCTCACCTAGCCTCCCCACCCAGCCCCCCCCCTAGCCACCCTCACCTAGCCCCCTCACCACCCCCTCCCTAGCCACCCTCACCTACCACCCTCACAAAAGCCCCCCCACCTAGCCACCCTCACCTACCTCCCTCACCTACCACCCCACCTAGCCACCCTACCTATCTCCCTCCCTAGCCACCCTCACCAGCCACCCCCACCTACCTCCCTCACCTAGCCACCCCAAACCCAGCCTCCCCCATAGCCCCCCCACCTAGTCTCCCTTAATAGCCACCCTCTCCTAGCCCCCTACCTACCCCCCAACCTAGCACCCTCACCTAAACCCCCCACCCTAGCCACCCCACCTAGCCCGTCCCCACCTACCTCCCCACCTAGCCTCCCCGCCAGCCACCCTCCAACCTAGCCCCCCTCACCAAACCTCCCTCCCCACCTCCCCTACCTAGTCTCCCTCACCTAGCCTCCCTCACCA